AGTGAGGGCCTGATAAGTGAATGGAGATGAGATGAGGCTGTGGGCAGAGCGCCAGGCCCTTGAGTGGGGTTGAGTTGTGATGCGCATCTGGATCATAAAGCCAACATGCTACTTGAAACACAAGAATTAAAATGAGTTCTCCCCCTGTGCGGAGGCGGGGTCACTGAGGCCAGCCCAGCTCCTCCAGCTGCTCCTTGTCAAGGTCACGGGGCAGATGGCACATGGCCCCTATGTCCCAGGAATGCCAGGCCGCCCGTTTGCCTTTCCTTTGCCCTGGCCTTGCGAAGGCCACACGCCGGAACTGCTCTCTGAGATACCCCAGCAGCTCCTCTCCTGGGGTCCTGCCTGGGGTCCTGCCCTCTGCAGTGTGGGCACAGCAGCTGGGACCCAGACAGGGCAGTGCCTTGAGAGTCATCCACCTCACCTGCCTTCCACAACGGCCGGGCATCTCCCGGGACCTGTCATCCGTCCTCCTGGGCTCAGAGAAGCATCTGGAACAGCCTGCAGCACTGCTCTCCCTGGGGAGCAGCAGGTGTGCGTCCATCTTTGTGTGAATGTGTGCACGTGTCCGTGTATCTGTGTGTGCACGTGTATGTCTGTGTGTGCATGTGTTTGTGCATGCATGTGTGTGTGTGTGTGTCTTTGTGTAGCTCTGTGCATCTGTATGTGCGTCGGTGTCCCTGTATGAGTCTGTGTCTGTTTCGGTGTGTTTGCGTGTACCTGAGCCTGTGGGTGCCTGTGTGTTCCCGTGTCTCTTTGTTTGTGTATCTCTCCTTGTGTCTGTGTCTATATGTGCGCCTGTGTATCTGCATGAGCCTGTGTTTATCTGCATGCCTTTGTGTCCATGTGTGTTGGTATGCCTGTGTGTGTGTGCACATGAGTGTGTCTATGCGCACACACCTCCACACCAGCTCAGAAAGTGCCCACCTCGTCTTGCTTTTCATGTCCCTAGCAGTGGGCACAGAGCAGGCTCTTAAAACCAGATCTGGGACTGGAGTGATAGCACAGCGGGTAGGGCGTTTGTCTTGCACGTGGCTGACCCGGGTTCGATTCCCAGCATCCCATATGGTCCCCTGAGCATGGCCAGGAGTAATTCCTGAGTGCAGAGCCAGGAGTAACCCCTGAGCATTATTGAGTGTGACCCAGAAAGCAAAAAAAAAAAAAAAAAAAAACCCAAATAGAACAGCAGATAGGGCGTTTGCCTTGCATGCAACTGACCTGGGTTTGATTCCCAGCATCCCATATGGCCCCTCAAGTACTGCCAGGAGTAATTCCTGAGTGCATGAGCCAGGAGTAACCCCTGTGTACCGCCGGGTGTGACCCAAAAAGCAAAATAAATAAATAAATAAAAACCCCAAACAAAAAAAAAAACCTTGAAGCTGGGTAGTTGGGGGTCCTGGGTATGAGAATGATGAGTGAAGCCCCTCCTCAGCGTGCTTCTCTGCAAACGTGCACCCCAGTTTTCCCGCAGCCAGGCCCTGGGGACAGGGCGAGGAGGCCTAGGACCCCCACAGTCGCCCGCCGGGCGTCAGGAAGTGCTCAGTGAAATGGGGAATCCTCTCCTCACCCCAAGCCGTCTCTGGGTAGCCAGGGGTGGGGTCCCCTGAAGCTGGGGCCCTAGGAGGGTAGCCTGAGGAAACTCAGCCTTCCCCTAGGAGGTCAGAGCCCCAGAGCAGCCCCAGCCCCAGAGCTCCCTGAAGCCTCTCATCTGCCATGAGCTGAAGTTGCAGGAGCCACCGAGATGGAGGGGGGTTAGGGAGTTGTGACCAGCACCCAGACACTAGCAGCTGGGATGCTCCCGTGCTTGAGGCTGATGGAGGCAAGGCTGTCAGGGGCTGCCCAGAACGGCGGGCCAGACCACCGCCCTGCTAGGCCGGGAGGGTGGGGGCAGAAGAGCTCTGGGGGCGACTGGGAGAGGGGGCAGGAGGGGGGAAGGGGCACAGAGTTGCCTGGGCACAGCACAGTCCCCCCTCCCCCCCCCCCCCCCCGGCCTTCCCAGTACTCAGGGGCCTGTGTCCTTGCAGGCTGGCCCTGACCTTCCTTCCGCTTACCACCGCCACTTCCTCACCCCTGAGCAGTTGAGTCAGCCCTGAGGCCCAGATGGCCCAGCAGTGGCCCAACAGGCGTCCCTCCCAGAGCTAGTCTGACCACATGTACGGTGGCCTTGAGAAAGCCCATTACTGGGGGAGTGGGCAGCGTGACCGCTCTGCCCACGAGGCCCCGTCTCTGCTCCATGCCCACCCGGGCCCGGAGGTAGGATGGCTGGAGGGTGGGGTTGGGGTGCTGGTTGGCAGGGAGGCTGGGCCTGAGCCCCGAGTTCTGGGTCTGTGTCATGTGGCCAAGGAACAGTGACAGTCTGGGTGGCTCCCTTTGTCTGCTCGAGGGTTCGGACTGATGCTGGGGGGTGCAGACGCCATCTCTCCCGCCCCGTGCAGAGTCCGAGGAGCACTGAGGGGGGACAGAGCCAGTTCCCAGGCGAGCTCTGGAGCCCAAGCCTGAGCGTGGAGGCTGCAGCCCTCATGAGGAAGCAAAGCCCAGACCCTACCGGGCCCGGCCTCACCCCCCTGACCCTCAAAGAGCTCCCGGGGTGGGCTTGAGTCACCTCTGCACACTGAGTGCTTTATCACCTTATTGGCTGCCTCACCTGTCATGGCTCTTTCCCAGGCTGGCAGAGGTGCCAGCTCCATGTGGCACTGAGTGTGCCCAGCCCCAGTCTGGACGGACTGCAGCCTGTCCCTCCTCCATGCCAGCCTGGCTGGGCATCCCAGGGGCTGGACGCTCAGGGCAGGCTCTGCGACCTGCAAAAGGGGCCCTGTGGGCGAGGTCCCCTTGGGTAAGTGTCCTGTTCCCAGCAGGAACTGAAGGCAGGTCCTGAGGGGGAGCTGTCCACCCCGTTTCACAGACGGCTCAGCCGAGAAAGCATCCTCAGGCATCCGGGAGCAAGGCAGGGCCCCAGGAGCTCCATGCACCCAGCACAGGCCTCATGTGAGGGGCCCGAACTCCCTCCCCAGCACCGTGTGGCCCTGGGCCAAAGGAAGCCAACCACACCCCCCAGCGCATCGCCCAAGGAGCCCTCCCCCAGCGCCACCAGGCCCAGAAACAGAGGAACAAGCTTTTATGAGGTCACTGTGTGGTCATGGGACAAACTCGGGGCTGGAAGAGGCACGTCTGTCCTCTCGGCAGAAGTGGACTCTGGGCAGCCCCTGCCCCTCCTGCCACTGTTTACTCTGCAGCTGCAGGATCCCCAGAGGACGCTGCCCTCCCCTGGGCGGCGGGAAAGGCACTGACCTTGGGGAGGAATGTGGGAAATGTCTGTGCTGGGGCCAGGAATGTGGGCTCTGGCCCCCCGGGGAGCTGTGTCCTGTGGCTGATGGTCCTTAGCTCACAAGTTAAACTGCAGGTCACGGGGTGAAGATGGCCAGAGCCGCCCTGCTGGGTGCCTGGAACGAGGGTGGGGGGAAGGCATAGCTGGAGGGCATAGCTGTCGTTCTTGACCCACAGAACACAGGGATGTGGGGGTGTTGGAGCCCTTTGGGACGAGCGGTGAATCCCCCAGCCCACGCGAGGACTGGAAATGGAGTCCAGAGGGGCTTCAAGATATGGCACCTCCCCACCTCTGCGTCTCCTCCACAAGGCAGGGGCACTTGGGGGCTCCCACTTCCCACCGGTTCCTGTAGGGACCCCAGGGTCTGGGGTAGACCCCGTAACTGCCAGGAGCCAAGCTGAAGCCACAGAGCAGACAGCTGGCCTCACCTCCGTCGCCAGACACTGGGAGGGAATTTGGTCTGGCCAGTGATCCAGCATTGGTGATGCCCAGCCCAGTCCTTTGGGACAGAACCCTGAGTTGAGTCAGGCTGCTGCTGCCCTCTTGTGGCCATGTCTGGGCATGACTGCAGCCGGGCAAGCCTCCAGTAGCAAATTCTCTAATTCTGGCACTTTCTCAAACGCCCCCTCCTCCTCCTCCTCCTCCTCTGGGAGGCCCGGATCGGGTAGGGTGACCTCATTCCCGCCTTTCACAGAGAGCCCCAGCACAGGGCAGTACGGGAAGGGCAGCCGATGATGTCTCGTTCAGAGGAGCAAGGCTTCGAGCCAACCCGCCCAAACACGTTGAGTGTGGGGGAAACGAGACAGACGAATCGCACTCCAACAGGATGGTTGGAAAATTTAGAGAATCTTTATTTCTCAGGAAACTCCGCCACAGCTGGCAGGCACTGCCCTCTGCGGCCGGGAGCCTCTCGCGCCCCTTCCGCCTGGAAGCAGGGAACGGAGGCGAGAAGCCATACAGCAACACCCCAGAGCCTTCAAGAAAGCCACAAACCACCTCCGCCACACAGACACACACAGACACACGTACAAAATAAATAGACGTAGAAAAGCGGCTGCGCTGGCCCGGCACTCCTGGCCAGGCCAGGGATGGGCGGGCTGGCCCCCATCTCTGCCACAGCTCCTTAGGGGAGCTGGGAGGGGGAGGGGAAGGGACGGACGAATAAATAAATAATAAATAGACCCAGACTTGCTCCCAGAGGCCTGAGGACTTGGGCAGCTCGAGGCTCAGGGCCCCTGGGGTCTGTTTCCCTGAAGGTAGCAGACTCCGTGACAGGAAGAAAGAATTAACAGGGAAAACAATGTTCCCGCCACGCCCCGGGTGGGGGACCTGCGCCCTACCATCCCGAAGGCCTGCGCCCAGAGGCCAGGCTCCAACCAGCACGGGAGAGAGGGGAGGGCTGAGCCCCCCCTCCCGCTCTCAAGCTGGGGAGCCCCTCCCCGCCCTGCTCTGGGCTCCCTGGGGCCGGGCAGTGTCTCCTCCCGGTCCTCCTGTCTCTGCACAGGGGCGGGAGCCCAGAGGTGGCCCGGCCCGGCTCCTGCTCGGGTCGCTCCCGGTACACCCTCTGCTGCTCTCAGTCACGGGCGCTGCCTCCGAAGCTCCCTGCGGGCCAACAGGGAGGATGCGGTGGGCAGAAGCAGGTGCGGGAGAAGGGGCAGCGCTGCTGCTTGGGACCGGAGACCGCACCGGGCCCCTCCTGGCCCGCGGGGCGCTCAGCTGGGCAGCAGCACGTGCTCCAGGAGGTAGGTGAGGGAGTCCCAGTGCTTCCAGAGGAGGAAGAGGACGAGGAGCAGGAGGGCCGTGCTGGTGACCCGCAGGCGCGTCTTCATGAGCGGCGTGATGAAGTTGGCGATGGTGGACACGAACACCAGCAGCACGGCCATGAGCGCCAGGATCACGTTGATGAACTTGCCCAGCAGGGCCCGCGCGTTGGCGTTCTCCACGCCCTCCAGCTGGACCACCTGCTGCTGCTGCTGCTGCAGCTCCAGCTTGGTGACCCGGGTCAGGCAGGACTCCACGGCCTCCTGCGGGGCAGAGAGGGGCACAGAGTGCTGCAGGGGGGTGGGGCCGCCCTGCCCACCCTCCCTTGGCCAGGCTCCTCCCCTGCCCGGCTCCTCCCACCCCCACTTCTGGCCAGGCTCCTCCCCTGGCCCCTGCCCACCCGCCTCTGGCCAGGCCCCTTGGGGTGGGTGTCGGGGCAGTCTGCTTGTGGTGGGTGCAGGGATGCCCTTGGGTCTAAGGGTCCACTCCCAGCAGGGACGGAGCCCGGGCCTCCCGCAGTGAAGGGAATGCTTGCTCCACTCCGTGCTGCGCTGCTCGGCCTACTGGTTTTCTAGTTTCTGATTCTGGCTACTTGGGGAGGGTGCTGGCACACAGGCATCCAGAGGGTGAGGAAAGGGGCCCGCTGGGCCAATCCGCCCTTGCCCAGAGCCCGGATACTCCCTGTGGCAGCCCCATTGCGCGCGTGTGTGTGGGGGGGGGCAACCCTCACTGTCCAGACTGCCCTGCCCTTTTTTTTTTTTAAATGGAGTTAATTCTTATTTTCTTTTTCTTCTTCTTATTGCTTTTTGGGTCACACCCGGCGATGCTCAGGGGTTACTCCTGGCTCTGCACTCAGGAGTTACTCCTGTTAGTGCTCAGGGGACCATATGGGATGCTGGGAATCGAACCCAAGGTCAGCCACTGCAAGGCAAACGCCCTACTTGCTGTGCTATTGCTCCAGTCCCCACCTGCCCTCCTTCTGCCCGCTGGGTTCCTACTCTCACCCCATGGCTGCCCCAGCCCTACCCTCCCCCGCCAGTCGGGGCCGTACCTGGATGTCCCGTGCCCTCTCGTACGACTGGTAGGCCACCTTCTCCTCCATGCTGGCCAGCTCCTGCTTCAGGTTGGTCATTTCGTTCTGGTGAAGCTCCGTCAGGTCGTTGAGCTGCTCCTCCAGCCTCTCGTACCTGGCAGAGGGGAAGCGCAGGTGATACCCGGGCCGGGCGCCCCTTCTCTCCCTCGCTCACTCTCCCGGATCCTGTGTGCCCCGTGCCCTCACCAGGCCAGGCCCCTCCCGGCTCAGCACTGGGCCTGTGGGGGGGTGGGGAAGGTGGAGGGGGCTCAAGTGGCTAGAATGCTAGTGTGGCTGGTCCTGTGCACCGCCAAGAGGGAAGAGGTGGCAGGGTGGTGGTAGGGGCCCGAGTGATCTGCCAAGACCTTGCCCTGTGGTGTAAGAGGTCTGGGGGGGGGGGCGGGGGGAGGATAGGGACATGGTGCATTTTCAGAAAGGGTCCCCCAACCTCGCAGGGAGCAAGTGCCGGACTGCCCGAGCTGTGTCCCCGAGTCCTGCGCCCCCGGCCGCCCTGCCCCAGGGGTCCCGCGGGGGTTACCTGTACCGCTCCTCCTGCAGACACTGGGTCATGTAGGTGTAGTCCCTCTGCAGCTGGGCCTTCAGGTCCTCCATGGAGCCCTCGAGGTGGGCCTGGCCCTCCTTGATGTCCCGCAGCTCCTCCAGCAGCGCGTCCAGGTTGGCGGGCGCCCCGTACAGCGTGTTGGACCGGGGGCTGCCCAGCGCGCCCGCGGCCCCCGAGTTGCTGCCCGCCCCCGCCGAGCTGGCGCTGGCGCTGGAGCACTCGTCGTCGCTGCCGTACTTGGGGCTGGACACGAGCGTGGCGCTGCCGCTCAGCGCGCGCGCCGCCTCCTCGGGGCCGCCGTCCTCCAGCGGGTCCTTGAGGTGCGCGATGTTGTCGGCGCTGCCGAACTTGTTGCGGATGAGGCTGGCGAACTCGCGGGGCTTGGACACCACGGCCGTGTGCGTGGCCTGCGACAGGCCCGACAGGCTGCCCTTGACGCCCTCCACCACGCCGCCGCCGAAGCCGCTGATGCCCGCGCGCACGTTGGCGCCCACGTCCTTGAGGCCCTGCTGCATGTCCCGCAGCACGTCCTTGGGCTGCCGCGACGGGCCGTTCTGCTCGATCTCGCGCAGGCGCCGGCGGTAGTGCTCCAGCTTCTTGTGCAGCTGCGCGATGGTCTGCGCCGACTTCTGGTTCTTCTTCTCGAACACCTGCTTGATGCGCGCCGCCTGCTGCTTGTCCGCGTTGTTGGCCAGCTTCAGGTACTCGGCCACGTTGTCGTCCCGCGCCTCCTGCTCGATCTTGATCTGCTCCGTGATCTTCAGGATCTTCTGGTGCAGGTGCCCGATGGCCGCCTTGGTGCGCTGCGGGTCGGGGGCCCCGTCGGGCACGTCCAGGCTGATGGGGCCGTCCGAGTCACCATGGCCCGGGCCGCCGGCGAGGCTCAGGGCCGCCACGTCCCCCTTGTCGACCTGGGGAGAGGCAGGAGGGAGCCTGAGAAACCCAAGAAGGCAGTGGGATGGGGTGGGGGTGGGGGGCTCGGGTTTGCTGCTGACAGACGGAAAGACAAGGCGGAAGGAAGAGGAAACTCCAGGCAAGAGGGAGCAGGTGTTGAGGCTGGAGCCATAGCACAGCGGGCAGGGCGTTTGCCTTGCACATCCCAGCATCCCATATGGTTCCCGAGCACCGCCAGGAGTAATTCCTGAGTGCCAAGCCAGGAGTAACCTCTGTGTATTGCCGAGTGTGACCCCAAAAGGCAAAAAAAAAAACCAAAAAAAACCCCAAAGTGAGCAGGTGCCCGGCAGTGGGCCATGTGGGAAGGAGCGCATCCACGGCCCCCTCTTGTCCCCCCGACACCCCTACACAGCCTCGGCAGTCCTGCTCCTCTTCCTGCTCAGAGAGGAGGGACCCCTGCTTGGAATGCCCCAAGTCCCTCACCTGCACCAACAGGTCGGACAGAGGGTCCCGCTCAGGGCCGCCTGTTCTGCCCTCCAAGTCCCCCCAGCCCCACCCTGGGGCAGGCCTGGCGCACTGAGCTGAGCAGGGCCTTCGCGGTCCCCACACAGCCGCAGGAAGCCTCTCGGCCCACCCCACCCGCCTCTGCCGGGTGCTCCCCCGGACCCCCATTACCTTCCAGTTCTCTGGAATCGTCAGCAACCACTTCCGCTTCATGACGGCGGGCGCCCCCAGCCCTCCTCCGTCTCCCCAGACCAGGAGCGGGGCGCACCCCGTGCTACCCTGCGGCCCCCGGTCCCTCTCGCCCAAGTCCCAGAAGCAAGTCACAGGCCACTGGAAGTGGGGAGCGACCTGGGGATCTCCTGGCTGCCTCCCTCTGCAGGGACTGAGGATGCAGGGGGGGGAGGGCAGCCCCACTTCCTCGCAGGGCGGCCTTCCCGAGCACATTGGGGGTGACGGGAGAAAGGGAGGCGGAGGGAGTGGGAAGGACGAGGGGAGGGCGCGTGAGGAAGACCACGGCAGACAGGTGGGTCGCGAGGTCAGGTCGGGGCAAGCAGACGGGGCCGGGGAGACGCCGTCCCGGGGCTGTGGCCTGGCCTGCGGGAGGGCGAGGGTCTGTGCACCGCAGCCGGCCCCAGCCTTATCGCCATGCAACAGCGGAAGCAGCAGGAAATGGCTCAACCCCATGTATTTTTACACGCAGCACGCCCCGATGAGGCGGCCAGACCGTCCGCCCTGCTCAGTGTGGGGGCAGGGCCGGGCGGAGTTGCGGGTGGGGTGGGGGTGGGGCGAAAAGAGGTCAAACACAAAGAGAAGTGGGCAGGTCACATGCACCGGAACCTGGGACGAGCTCGTGCCAATGGCCCACAGAAGTCACGGGCTGCGGCTGGTGGAGAGGCCGCAGAAGAAAACACGATGGGGAAACAATGGTCCGGCCAGACTCTGGCCCCGGGGAGAGGGTGGCTCCCCGGGCTTCCTCTGGGGACTTCTGAGGTCACTGTTCCACCAGGGACGCTGGGGACACTGCCGGGCCCCTCCCCTGTCTGTCCTGAAGGCAGCACGCGCCCCTCTTTGTTTCCCTCACCTCCCCGGTCCTCCTCCCTGCTTGCTCCCACTGAGATCCACCCCTGTATTCCAGAGGCGCCAACATCCATTCTCCATGATTTCAGCCCTGCTCTGAGGACCAGCAGCCTGCAGCTCAAAGCCACAGACCCTCCATGTAAACAAGGGGGACCCACACCTATTGCAGGCCTCTGCAAGGCTCCCCCCCACCCCGTGCTATGGGGCACATGGGAGGTGCATATTCAACGCTGCCTGGACCTGAGCCGCACGCCTCCCCTTTTTTGGGGGAAGGGAAATGGTAAGTGCGAGTACGTGGGACTTTACTGCAGGTCTGCCCGCGATACGACCTAGACGCCGAATGAGACAGAGTCAGATTTGAGGCCTGGGAGATGGCTCCAAGGGCCGGGGCACAGGCTCTGCATGCGGAAGGCCTGGGTTGGAGTTCTGGCATGAAACAATGCCCCAGGAATGTTGAAAGTGACCCCAGAGCACCAGGCCGGCCCCAAGTATGGCCCCTAGGTCAGAAAAAGAAAAAAAAATTTTTTTATGTGCAACATGTGGCTCTTACTATTAAATACCAGATCCCCTTATAAGGCCACTGTCCTTTCTCAGCGGGCTCAGCTTGGGCAAGCCTATCATCTCGGCAGGGAGCGCCCGGCCCACCCCTGGGTGGGGCTAAGACAGACCCAGATGTGGAACTGCTGAAAGTGCCCCCCCCCCCCCCATCCCTGTGAGCCTCACGTGAGCCTGAGCAGGAGCCTGTGCCCATCGTGGCTCCAACTCTGGGCAGTTCTGTGGCAACTTCCTCCCCCTGCCCTCAGTACCTCGCTCACCATCACAGAAGTGGGAGAGCGCCCCCCCCCCTCGGCCAGCACAAGAGGAGCACAGAGCAGGGAGCAACAGCTGCTTCCCACCTCTGAGGGGAGTCTCAACACAAACACCCGCAAAGGACACGAAGGGGTCAGGGTGGGCACAGCCAGCCCCCAGGAGGCAGAGGCTGCACGGCCGGCCGGCTGGCCGGAAGGACACACGGAGACCGAGGGAAGGAGGCGGGTAGGCACAGAACGGGCGGGTAGGCCACGGGGATGGAGGGAGAACGGGTTCGGGAACGGGGATGCACGCCAGAGAGAGCTGCTGAAGTGGGTGGTCAGGTCACACGGCAGATACTGGCTGTCGGACAGAAAGTATCTGGGCTATCTTGCAGCCCGTAGACGGGAATCCTGGCCCTCTCTCCAGAGAGGCTAGCAGCCACCCCACACTCCTCTCTGGGCACCCACCCACCCACCACCGCCTGCGGGGAGCAGCCCCCGGTATCCCAGACTGACGCCTCCTACAGGTGACTCCCCTCCCCCCGGGGGCTCCTGAGTTCTCAGCCGTGGGGTGAGGAGAGGCCCTCCGGCCTGCACCAGCCGCTGGCCACTGGGCACGGAGGCACTTTGGGAATCTTAGGCTGCAAGGGGGCAGCGGAGCCAGGAAGCTGGTTTCCCTTTAGGCAAAGGGGTGGCAGGACTCCTGGGCAAGACTGATGTGCCAGGGGCTGGAGTGACAGCCCGGCAGGTAGGGCGTTTGTCTTGCACGCAACCGACCCGGGTTCGATTCCCAGCATACCATATGGTCCCCTGAGCACTGCCAGGAATGATTCCTGAGTGCATGAGCAGGAGTAACCACAGCCCCCTGTGTATCACCGGATGTGACCCCCCAAAAAAGCAAAACAAACAAACAAACAAACAAAAAAACAATGTGCCAACTGTCTGGATGGGGCAGACTCAATGGCAGGGGGCAGCCAGGAAGTGCTCGGCCAGAGCTGCCGGGGAAGCCGGGGACAGGCCCTGGCACCCCAGCCAGAACAGCTGCAGGGATCGCGCCACACGCCCCTGAGGCTGCCATGCGCAGGGTCAGGCCCCGCCTGCCCAAGGCCAGCAGCCTAAGCAGCTTTCCCCCAGGGGCTGGGGAGTAAACACTCAACCACGTGGCGGGGCGCATGCGGACAGTGCGTAAGGGGGTCTTCCGATCACAGGGTAGAGGGGTCTCCCTGAGGCGCCCCTCCCTTGCGGCCTGGCAAGCCCTCCAGGGATGAAAGGGGATGGCATGCGCCAAGATGGACAGCGGCCAGGACGGCCAGGACACGCCCCTCCTACTTTCATGCAGCCGGGTGGTCCCAGCCAGCCCTAAGAGCGATCTTCCTGCCCCAGCGAGACCCCCTTGCCCAGCCCCGCTTCTGGGCTTTTCCATCAGACCCAGTCCTTGGTTCTGAACCCCTTATTGCCCCTGCAGCCCTGCAGAGAACAATGTCCTTGCATGTCCCTCTGCCTCCACCCCCCTCGGAGCCCAGGCGGCCCCTGAGCTGCTATCCCCTGGATCTCAACCCTCCCGATCTTCCCCAAGGTCATCTGGCTCCTTCCAGACTCTCCCTGGGGCCACTCCCTGGACCTTGTCCTCTGCCCCACCCCCACCCCGTCCCCTATTTCTGCTCTGCCAGCCACAGAACCGCCACCAGCCACCAGCTCCTGCCGGGGGCTTCTCTGCCTGCCCCCAGGGCTGCGAGCACCGAGCACCGGCAACTCAGGTCCTGCAGTTCAGGTCTTGGCCCTCCCGTCTCTGAGGGGTGCGACTGAGCCCTAACCAGCCTAGTGTTGCCCACCCAGCAGATACCTAACCTGTGTGGGCGCCGTCTCCCAAAGCCTGGCTGTGGCCGGCGTGCCAGGGCCTCGGGGGCCCCCACCGTCTGCAGGTTGGGCAGAGCCCGCGGGCTCGCTGTCCCCGGGCGGCATGGGGCTGCCCAGCGGCTGTGCCCGAGCCCCTCCGGCTCCCCGCTGCCACCCGAGGCCGGCTCAGGCAGGCAGGGGATCAGCAGGGATTGCCCGACTTCCCCTCCCGGCACCCAGCTGCTCTCTCGCCTCTGGGAGAAGTGGGAGGGGGAGTGCACTGAAGGGGAGTGCTCCCTGTCCCCCGGGTCTAACTGTTGGTATGGTACACTCCCTGTGGCGGGGACACAGGTATGACAAGTCACAGCACATGGGACACGTGTGCCACCATCCCTCACGCACGCGGAGAGGGTGTGAGGCCAGGCAGGCCCCGCCCCCAGCAGCAGCTTAGACTACTGCCTCCCCCACGCCCCTGCGAATAGAGGGGCCTCCGCAGGGCCGGGCACGGTGCCCGCCTGGAGCCCCTGCCCTGATCCCAACGGACCTGCCCACGGGTTTAGGGCAGCCCCCCACCCCAATAACTGCCTAGGGAAGAGACGGGACTTAACCGTCTGGACACCACCATGCAGCACAGCACAGAGGTGGCTTCTCTGCTCCCTTCCACCTTCCCTTCCTCCTGGCTCTCGGCCGCAAGCACGCCCAGGGCCCACTCACAGCAGTCTCTTCTCCTTTGGACTTCATCAGGCCGGTCCCAGCAGGAAATCCCGTCAGCAGCCGGCAGAGGGGGCCAGAGTCCCACAGCAAAGACC